GCTACTCGTTGCTCATTGTCAAGGTGAAGAGGAGAACCGTACTGACTTCTAGCAGGCTTTTCTGGACCATCATTGCTGTAGTTGTAGCTTTTTTTGTTTGCTGGACACCATATCACATATTCAGCATTGTGGAGCTGTCTGCTCACCATGATGAAAACTTGCATGACTTACTGCAGGATGGCATTCCCCTCTCCACTGGCCTCGGTTTCATCAACAGTTGCCTAAATCCAATCCTCTATGTTCTGATTAGCAAAAAGTTCCAGGCCCAGGTCAAGACAACAGTCTCTGAGGTGCTGAAATTGGCACTGTGGGAGGTGAGCCGCTCAGGAACTGTCAGTGAGCAGCTGTGGAGCTCGGACAACACCCATGCGCCTGTGCACTATTGTGAAACTGCTCAGTGACTGCTCTTGTCACCATCCCTCTCCAGAACAGCTGACAGGAGATTTGAAGGTGTTCTTGACGTCACATCTGCCAGTCAGATGTGCATCTTTGCATATACAATTTTATGTAAACAGCTGGCTTAATTGCAATTGCTGCTTTCCTTGAAAGGTTTTTAAAGGCCACGTCATTTGGGTGTGGTGTGCTTACAGTGCACACATAGACTGAGCTGAAAGTTGTTGGCAAAAGTGGAATTGCTCTAACTAGGTTTTTGATCAGGAATGTTGTAATCATGTTGTTTTGTTTGGGTTCCATACCTCACTGATACCAAAAGAGCACATAATAAAAATACTCCTCCTTGCCATCACTGCTAACGGTCTTGATCGAGGCATTCTCATCCAAAAGGTCATGGCCATACAGCAATGGGTCATGAGTCTCCTGATTGTCTGGTATTGCCCTAAGTAGGAATCACTGGCTACATCCCAGCTAAGTGAAGCTATGGGTGGCTCCACTCTGCAGTTGGAAAAGAATCCCAAACAAGAGAACACTGAATTACTGCCTGATCTTGTCACAAAAGAAAAATATGGAAATAAAATCTGTTTAGCCCCAGTGCTCTTATACTCAAAACTAAGACAGGAGATCACATGTTTTCTGGTCACTTATTGTGCTTTTAGCACCAGTTGGGTACAAAATGCTGAACAGATGTTTCATATAGTTATTATGCTCATTTGAAATGTGCAAATAATTAGTGAAAATGTTTCTTACAGAAGCTGAAATTAAGGGCTCCCTACCACACTTGTTCTTTTTCTATGTTTAAACTTTTAGGCTCAGAGAGATTTACAACTATCAGTTGCTCTGTTAAACAAAGGTAAAAAAATAATATGGCATTTTTTACGCCTTAATCCCAATCTTGAAAAACTGGGCAGAGTGAATTCAACAATAGTCTGTTACAAGTCTCTTTGCCAAATCTGGACTTCTTTGCCAAATGAGAGGCAAAACACAACATCCAGGAAATGGAGTCTGTTCCCTTAAGAAAGATGAAATAGTCCCAGTTATGCTGTATTCTGTTCCAACTTGTTACTTGCTGTAGAATCACACATGCACCAATGCAAATATATATGCTAAGTGGAACGGACCAACTTCTGATGCAATACCACTTAATTAAAAAGGTGAATGTGAGATAAAACTTCACTAAAACTAAAAGCATAAAGCTTTGGGTAGATTTGAGCTAGTTTTTCTTGTTTTTCGCCGATGTATATAGAGTAAAACTGCCTTTCAGATAATCTACCTAGTTTCTATGCCTGCCAACACACATAAGTAACATTTATAGTGTAATTGAGGCCTTGTATGTAAATATATTTGCTTTTGTATAATATATATATATATGCATGCATGCACACATCCAGTATTGGTAGCTGTACAAATAGAAACAGTCTGAATGTGGTCTGTAACTGTTTTTTTGAGCTCTGGTTTGAGTTTGGGAGAGTCAGGCAGGATCAGTGGAATTTCAATGTATTTCGCTTTGGGCTGGAAAGTTGGTAAGCAGCACTCTTCCTCTGAGTCATTTGCTGCCTGGTACATAGTGACTCATCATAATATTTTGGAACTGTGGTGCTGAATGTGCCTAAATCAAACATCTTGAAGGTTTTCTTCACATGTTCCCTGACATCTTTCTAAGAATGATGTATTAGTATTACTCTCCTGACTGTACTCTAAGTAATAAATTTTTTTTGTTTCCAAAGAGTGTGCTCATTTGCTTTTCTCAGCAGCAATATGTAGTTACTGTCTGTTGCAGTTACTGTCCATTCGTAGAACAGCTCCTTCCCAAAGACTGTGGAAGGTGAAAGCAAGCCCTGGCCCTTTCTACTACAGGAATTAAACTTTGTCAGCTTTCTTCTTGCATGTCAGCTCTGTGAGCATACATACTGCTATATACAGTAAAGAGATTGATTTTCAAATGGGGGAACATACATATGCTGCCTTACATAAATTATCAGAAAGTGTCCCCTGAAGTAGACATCAGAGATACAGAACAGAATTGAATAAGGCCAAAGTCAGCCCTGGTCAATGGAGTTAAGTGGATTAACAATTTTGCAATGTAACTGCTACCTCATTCACACCAAGATCAGTGACAGATTTATCTACAAATCATTTCTGCAAGAGTAATGGAAGATACTTAACCAAAACAGATAACACTGTAAGTTTGTTTCTGAAGTGTCAGAAACAATACCAATAGTTCTACACTGCTTGGACTGAGGAACACTCATTCAACCCACCATAGAAAAAAAGCTGGGTGAAGGAGATCTATTTCATTATACTAAAAGATACTATAGAAAAAACACTTCATAGGAAATAGCTCTATGATTGACCATTCATTCAAGAATAATAGCTATTGACACATTTCATAATAGACAGGTTCTGGTTACTTACTCTTACCTGCTTCCTGAACAGTTTGTGCCTCTGAAGGTTGTTATGTAGATTAGTTTGTAACCAATACTTTTGTGGAAAGATTAGTTTGTAACCAATACTTTTGTGGAAACCCTTTCCCAGTATTCCTAGATATCACATATTTAAGTTATGAAGGTTTCTACTGATCTTTCTGTCATGAGGTACACTTGGGGTAGAAGTGTCTCATTTACCCCAAGATGCCGATTTTTCACAGGCACAATGACACCATAATATACCAGCATATACTGAAACAGTACACAAAACCCCATAACATAGATATATGTGGATTCTATGGAATTCTCTTGTCCACATGCCTATTTTTTAACTGAGGAGACTCTGCTCTCTAGCTTTTTGTTTTGCTTCTGTGCAGCAAGTTTCCTTCTAACATCAGAGAGGAAAAAACACAAAAGAAATCCTAACAACTGATGAGTTTGTAACATGCATACTTACCATAAATGAAACAAAAATCCCGTCTGGCAGGTCAGATAGATAGCTCATAGTGCTGTATTTTAGCAAAGTTACAGTCTGTAAATCAAACTATTTATTCATTTAGAGCTTTAATCTAAATGTCAAGGAAAGAGCTTAAAGGTAAGAAACACATTGAATGGGAGATCAGAAACAGTGATGGCCAAAAATAATAAAAATTACATTTTTGTGGCAGAATTTTTATTTAATTTTTTACTGATGTGGCATTTATTAATTTCTTGCTTTTAACAGCACCATGACAGACTTGCTAAAACTAAGCTACGTGATTTAACGGAAGTGACAGCTAGAGAATTGCCACAGAAAGGGTACTGTGCATTAATTACACACAGGATAAAGCTAGTCCTTTAGGAGTTAAGTTTATGAAAGGTGAGAATGAAGCCTGTAATTATACTTACTTTCAATTCTTTAATCATGCTTTAAACCTCTAGCAGGCAGATATTTTTCCCGAGACAAATTATAAAACAAAGCTCTCTCATAATCAGAAGTTGGCAGACCTTTAAATGGAAACAGGACCTGCTGTGCCAGATAACCACACACAGATGCTCTGTGAAAAAAAGAACAAACAGTTACTTTAGCTGCTGCTGTCAGGCTTCAGCACTGACCATCTTCATCTCTGAGCGAAGAGTGTAGCACATAAAAGGTTTCCGTTTCATGGTCACAATAAATTCCCCTAGTCCAACAGAAGGCCTAGAAATGTGCATTTGTCTAGAAGCTTCGTAACTTTGACAACTTTTACATTTGTATTATTCCTATGGATTGTTTTTGGAAAACAATTTAGTTCTGATAGGTTCTTCAACCTTTGTCAAGTGTCAGAATCAACCTAGATACCAAGCTGGAGCCATGGAAGCAGCTCAAATCTGGTGCTAATTATGCTACTTTATCTTTGCATTTTCATTGAACATGTTTTTTTTTTTTTAAATGTTTTTTTAGCCTGGAGCATGCTTCAATTTTATTATATAAGTAAATTATCCAGCTGCATTGGCTTTAGTGTGGAAGGTGCCTGCTGCCCCCTAGTCGCCTCTGAGGTGCTGGTGCCTTTCAGGGAGCCCTGCCAGGGACCTTTGGAATATAAAAGGACCTTTTGTCACCATTATTTGCTGTACTAATTAGCAAGCCCCAGAAAAGATGTGAAATCTACAGCAAATGTTTTCACACCTGAGGAAAAGAGCTCCAAGACCACACAACAGGAGATGTGCTGGGGTAGTCCCAGATGTGATCGTTTTTTACCATATACCCCACCACCTCCAGCACAGCGCAGGTGCTTCCAACCCACCTTCAGCCCCACTCCCTCAGTGAAGCTGATTCTTGGCTTTCAGCATAAGCCACAGCGTATTTGGTTAGTCACCACCCTTATTAAACAAAAGGAATTCATACTACTGTCTGCTAAAAAAAATTATTTGCACTTCTCCCTTAAAGCCATCCCTCCTTCCAGAATTACAGAAATTTCAAAAAATGCAGCTTCCCCCAAAGATGGAGCAAAGAACATTTCAGATTTTTAAAGCCATGTAAGCATTAAACCTGGATTGATGGTAAATGTAAATTTTGAATTTCCTCCACTCATGCTCTTGGGTACTACAGTGGGTTGTTGGAGCAACCCTGAAATTCAGTTTTAGCTTCTAATTTACCCATCAACCATATTTTACGAGTTGGATTACACAACTATTTGGAATTAACCAGACACAGCCCAATTTTTGCAATTACATTTATTCTAGATATATCAAGACTTAAATCTTATTGAAAGCAGCTACATCCATTGATTGTACATAATCTTCAAAAGCTGTTATTCTCTCTTCCAGCATATCTGTTCCAACTTTATCATCTTCAACAACACATTGGATCTGAAGCTTTTTTATACCATAGCCAACCGGTACTAGCTTGGCTGCAAAAGAAAAAAAAAAGCATTCAGTACTCCTTGATTGTTGGAATCTCTTAAAAATGCAGACGTAAGATTGAACCAAAGTAGCTTGCATAATTTGTTCTGTATTATAGACTGCCTAATCAACAACACAGCATTACAAGGTGGTTGAAAAGGGTTTGGTTTTCTGTGAGTTTCCAACCCCCCTCCAAACCAGTGACCTGGGTATGTGGCTGTTTGCTTGCTGCAACAGGAACAGTACAGGGAGATGTGGGACAGCAGAGCCAAAGCTTTTAAAACCTCTCTCTGAATCTTAACCTGGCTGCTGCACTAACCTTTTTGACTATGTCAAGACACTGAAGTGCAGCAATTCCAGCACTGTTTTGGCTACCTACATTTTCACAGACTGGCAAAAAGTGACAAGTTTACCTACCCATACACCATCTTAAGAGACCACATTACCTCCCTCTCTGCTTATATTTTTCTCATACTTACAAGATCCCCACACCAAGCCATCTGCTTGAATGCTTCGAACACACTCCTCTAATTTGGCCATGTCTGTCTCATCGTCCCAAGGTTTCACATCAAGCAAGAGTGATGATTTGGCAACAACAGCTGGTTCTGAGGGAAGAAAAATCACCATTAAAACTTAGGAAATTTTAAAACACTCATGAATATACTTGCAAACTAGCTTTATAAAAGAACAACTTTTCCAATATCATGAACAAGAACTCCTTACATAGCTGTGACAGGACTCTTGTACCAAGATGTGTTTCATAAATATTTAAGCTATGCATATCCCAATGCTCAAGATGCAAATACGTATGTTCTTGAGAAACAGTCTCATAAGAAAACAGATTAAGCAGCTGACACTGTTTGTTACATAGGAAGTCCTTTTCAGAGGATCTGAGAAGGAGCTTAGTACCATGTAACAGTTTAGTCTTCCACAGAGGGAATTCCGCAACTGCTACAGTTCTGAACAGTTCCAGATCAGTAGCTGTGGAGGGACCTGCATATTGCAGCCTTTTCTCTAAACGTTTAAAGAAAATCTAGTGGTTAACTCTTTTTATATAGAAAGCTCAGCCTCTGGGTAAGGGTGTATATTAAACAGTACCAAAGCTATGTTAAGGTTCCCACTTGCTATGGGAAAGGCTAAGCTCACAGGCAATTTGAGTGAAGCTTATTACTCCCATCTCATTGCACTGAAGTTTATCTACTACAGTTAACTAGCATTTCTAACCATCCTGTTCAAATGTGTGAAAATTAACCCAAGCATAAAAGATAAGTTGTTGGTAGCCGTACTTTTAGACTTCTTTGATTCATACTGGGCCAGACGTTCCTCCCTCAGCTTCTTTGCTTCTTCACTTTCCTGAAAGAGAAATCTGAAGTTACAGAAAAGCACCAAAACCCGGCATCTCTAAAGCATTATCAAATTGACTGGCATCTATTCAGGCAAAAACAAATCATCACAACTGTCAGCCGAAAGATGGTGATTTTTTGTTTTACTCATCATGTAACCAGTCAAAGTAGACAGTTTACCCCACTGCAAGACATTCCTTTCTAACTCTGAGTTTTTACCTTCCAAGCTTTTCTGTTCTGTAAACACTGCTGAGTTTGAGAATTCTAAGTAGGATCTGGTATCAAGGTAACAAATTTAAGTAACTTTAAGTAAGGCAAAAATCTGCACACCTGGATATTTGTAAAAAAGCCAAATAAAACACAAAAAGGACATAAGTACCTCCTCATCATCAGATCCGAAAAGATCAATGTCATCATCATCTTTGTTATCTGTGGCTCCACCTGTTGTGTCCTCAACATCAGCAGGACCGTATTTCCCCAAAGCCTTCTTCACTCCTGGCAAGCTGAAAGAAAACAGCAGATATTAGGAACCTACTCAAAGGTCAATACAAATATTGCCAATCTGTCAGTGATTCTACAAGTGCATTCATAGTGGAAATGCTGTGCTAAATAAAAAATATCTAATTCCGCTACTTGAAAACAAACCTCCCCCAAAACAACCCCCATGCTGATGTGCTAGTTGAGGCTACAGCAAATCTCATATCCAAAGATTGTTCATCTAAACTGACATGTTCCTGCCCATCACTGCTGCTCCACCGAAGTGGATGGATAGAAAAAGCTTTTGTATTGGAATAATTTATCTGCAATATATTCTGTATAGGAAAAGTTATCAACTTCTTGCTCATGCTTCCTTGCAAATACTTTAATTTGTCTAAAAACTAATGGTGACAGAAAACATGTTGCCAGGTAATTGATCCTGTGACTTTCGGCGTGTCAGTGAACACTTTACTCGGGAAACTAGCCCTTAACAGCACGCAAGGGACCAGAATCCCCAAATTCTCCTACAGCTCATATAGTTCTGTAGTCTTAGAATAAGCTTGTAGTTCTACTGCTTCTGTGAACTGCTCTTACAAGAGTCATAAAACTAGCTTTAGTTTTCAGGGACAAGTAGTAGCTTCCACAGAGTGGAGAGTTTGGGAACTTTATAATCCCAGTCCTCTCTGGCGTTATATGAGCTTCAGAAACAGACTGGTGACTGAGCCACCCAGCTTTATGAGCGTTCCCTCCAACAGGACTGAGGCACATAGAAGAGGCAGTGTAGCAATACTGACACTACCTATGTTGTACCTTTTTAGAGAGGCCTGCAGTCTCCATGGATGTCAATACAGCACCTTTCATGAACACTAAAATCACTAAAAAAGAAAAAAGATAACATTTGCTTTCATATTTCCCCTTCTTTGTATGTGCTTCTGCATTGCAAATCAATTGATAGTGTTTTATCTTCCAGGACTAAAAACCTGAACGATCCACTTCCCTGATTTATCATCTACATACCACATATTTATCTTTAAAGACTCCTGTAATACTTTCTAACCCGGTTTGGTGTTGCCTTTATGGTGTCTATTATTGGTATGTAATTTTCAGCTTTCAGCATAGTTATCTGTGTGAATGGCAGTAGCAAAACTTAAGCTTTTCTTGTAAGCTTCAGCAGAAAAGTCAGCAAGTGAGCAGAAACAGAATCAGGTTGCCTAAATTCTAAGTGGAAAGTGACACGTACTGACAGAAACCTGCTCTGCCTCTAGAGCTGTTCCTGTTCCAACAGCAACAGGAAAAGCCACGTGGCACCAGTAAAAGCCAGTTTTGCTCAAACTGGAATAAATACAGTATTTCGTAGGCCAGTTCACAGATATATTCCATCTTTGCAGATTAACCGTACCTTGCCTTTTGCTTTTCGTAGGACTTAATATGATTGTACCACCGGAGAGCGTGAAATAAGTCTGCAGGAGGCGGGGAGGCGATGGCTTCAAAGACTGCGATATCAGCCTGAGAAGGGACGTACCTGCGAAGAACAAGGCGAAGTTAACCCCCTTCCCGGGCGCGGGCAGGGAGCTGGGCGCCGGCCGCATGCGACGCGCAGCGGGGGCGGGAAGCCGGGGCACCGAGGCACACGGGCGGCCCCACACGGGCGGCCCGGGGCCCCCCGCCAGGCCAGCGGGCCCTCACGGCGGCCCGGCCGCGCTCGCCTCCCGTGAGCTCCAGCACCGCCCCCCTCCGCCTCTCACCCCTCGATATAGCTCCTGTCAGCCAGGAAATCATTGAGGACACGGAGGCCAGCGGCGGACTTGAGGTCCCCGAAGCCCATGACGGCACCGCCGCTGCCCCAACCCGGCCGCCGCGCAAAGAGGCCCAACAACCCCTGCGCCGCCTTTATATAGCGGTTGTATCCCTCCGCCACGACACTGCGATGTGTAACCCTCCGCAGGAATCAACCGCGAAGTAGTCCCCCACGGGTTGGTTGCTCCGGCGCAGGGCGGGCGGGGCGGGACCGGAGTAGCGCACGTGAAGTTAGCGGTAAGGCGCAGGGGGCTTTTCAGCGTTACGGGGGCACGGGAACATTCCCCGTGCTGTTCGCTCCTTCCCCCTCCCCCCGCCCGCCCCGCAGGCACCAGCGGCAGTGTCCGGAGTCGGGCGAAGAAAGAAGCGGAAGGGGACGGAAATTGCCGAGTGTGGCGTGTCCGACGGTGGCCGAGAGGGCGCCGAGGAAATCGGCGGAAATTGCCGATCACCTGACGGAAATCCCCGAAGCGGCTAGTGCCGAAGATTGCCGAGCGCGCCCGTAGGGACCGCCGGGCGAGGCTTCGGGGAGCGGCGGGAGGGCCCGGGGCCGCCGCCACACAGGCCTGGGCGGATCAGCCCCTGCAGCGGCGGGAAAGGCCGAGGCGCCCCCGCCGCCCGTCCCGTCCCGTCCCGTCCCGTCCCGTCCCGCCCACAGGTAACGGCGGAGGCGGTGGCGGCTCCAAGGTGACCCCCGCGCCGGGCGGCCCTGCCCTCGGCCCCGGGGCCCGGCAGCGACGGGGAGGCCGGGCCCCGGCGCGGTCGCTGTGGGAGCGGGGACCGGGGAGGCGGCGGAGCGCTCCTGGGGCGGCTCGGCGTTGGGTCGTGAAAACGGGCCGGTGGCAGGGGAGCTGCCGCCCGTCCCGGGGGCTGCTCGGCCCTCCTCCGAGCGCCTGCCAGCGCCCGCAGGGACGGTGGCGTGAGCGACGCTGCCAGCCATCTACCACCGTGACATTTATCCCGTTTAATGTGCGGTGACATACGTGTGTATGAACCGTAGGTAGCTATAAAAAGAGAACCATGCATTGCGGTTTAAGAAAGTAACTTCATATTCTCTTACAACTGTGCGCTTGCGGGCATGTACATACCTTTTTGCAACTGGTATATAAGGTTTCACTCTGCTTGTTTAAAACTTGTCAGCAAACGTTTGAACTGATAAAAACTCAGTGCTGTTTTCTCTCTTGCCAAAGCACCATGCTTCGACTACCTGCAATCCGCAGGACCTTAGCTGGGGTCACCCAGTCCTCCAGAGTGTGTGGTAAGTGCCTCTAGTTTGTGTGTGCGTGTATGGTGATGAAATTCCCATGTGTGTAATTGATTTATTGAAGGGTGTATATGCATACTTCCATTTTCAGCTCTGGAATTCTACATTGTGCTGCTTCCAGAACTGGAATTCTATCAGTAGTGTATAATTGTAAGATCAGAAGCATGGCTTCTGATGGTTTGCATCTAGCAGTAACTGAAAGTTTTTGTGTTCTTTTTCTGTGTCCCTCAGGGCATACAACTGCAACAGCAGCCAGCAACCAAATAGAGGTGTTTGTGGATGGTCATCCTGTGTTGGTGAACCCAGGAACCACAGTACTTCAGGTGTGGGAAGTGGCATGCTGATTTTTTCTTGGACTCCCCATCTCACTTTTTGTCAGCTTGTTCTATATAGCAAAAAAAAAAAAAAAAACCCCAACCCTTTACAATGTTTCTTTAGGGGTCTTTTGTGGCAGAAATCCTTTGGGGAGTTCAGTATTTGAAAAAGAAGCATCTGCCATGATTGTCTGAAAGAAGATGCGTGCAGTGTAAATCCCAGCTGCAAAAATTTCTGCAATGCAGTAACAGATTTTGATAAAGTCTGGTTGAAAGTCTAGCTCTGAACTCTGTGACCTGGTAGTCTTTCAGAACCTGTTAATTTTGTATTTTACTGAGGTGGTGTCTCTGGTAAATGAGGGATTGTCTCCTTTTGGTTATTAGTTCTTATGATTCAGAGTGTTGATCCTTCACTGCTTTTATTCTTCTTGGTGTGGGAAGAAATGGAACCTGCATTTCCCAGCCTGTACTCAGCATTGTTGTTTTTCAGGCCAAAATTTCAAGTAGATCTTTTTCCAGTCTAACTTTTTAAGGAGCCATTAAATGGGGATGTGGTACAGTGAGTTAAAATGTTAAAGTATATGATGTTTATTTCAGAATACATCCCTCATTCTTTGGATACAAGTTGCTAATTTAGTCATTAGAATGCCCTCAGGAGGGATCTAGTGTAAAATTTTCTTAAATGCTATTTTTTATTAGCTTTTTAGTTTTGCTTACCTGTGATATTTTTTTTTTTTGTAGAAATCATCAGAAAAATTAGATCTTGTTAGTTCTTTCTTATTGAATTCGGTGATATTTCTTCTGGCAGGCATAGCTAAAGCTTACAGCACAGATCCCATCAGCCATGGGGATTTTGTGTAGGAAAGGCTGTCTTTATCTCTTCTCTGGAAATCTGTTGCCTCTGTCCTCATGTCTCTTCTTCAGATGTGTAATGGAAAAATGCTTCCTTGAGTTTGGGTTTCTAGTGGCGTTGAAGATGGGCTGTGCTCCAGTACCTTTATAGACAGTATCTGTGTTGTTGAATTATCAGAAATCATTATGCCCATTGTTGTTTATATTTTTCAAATGTTCCTTTTATGCACTTTTCTTTAAGTAGTGCATGTGTTCTTTAAAAAGTTATTTGTATTGCTAGTGTCCTGTCAGAGATAATTCTGTTTGTGGAGGAAGGAATGAATGAGAGGTCTGTTCTCGTTTCCGCAGTCAGTTACAAATTCTCAAAAACATATATTTGTAATTGGTAATCTGACATGATTCTGTTTGATCACAGTTTTTTATTTATAGTCACATCTTAAAATGAAAGGTCGAATGCACTATATTCCTGAGCACTGACACTGCTATTCTTTGAAAAACTGAATAGTGCTTTATGAGGTGGAACTGAAACTTTCCTTTGTTTCTTATTCTTTATAGGCCTGTGAAAAGGCTGGAATTCAGATACCTCGTTTTTGTTACCATGATCGTCTCTCTGTTGCTGGAAACTGTAGGATGTGTCTTGTGGAAATAGAGAAAGCTCCAAAGGTATGGTATGTGTTTCACAGGGGTTGCAATTTTCTGCTGTGCTTGGGGCCTAGTTAAAATCTTGTAAATAATTGTTTGTACTATCATTAGCGCACAAATTGTTGTCATTCATCTGCTTGAAGCAGTTTTTTCCCTTCTCTGCACCAGACCACAGTGAATGCCAATGGATCAAAGTCAATTCTCAGGTTCTTATGGATTATCTTGCTCCTGAACGTGAGCATTTGATAGCTGTGTGTTTTCAGTCAGATGTATTTTTGTTCTGTAATTCAAGCTTCAATCGCACATTTTCAGCTGACATTACACAAACAGTAAACTTCAGGTACTCTGTGAATTCAGCTGCAGGATTAGTGCCTGCGGGTTTGTTTTAGCTAAGTAGGGATTGCAGTTACTTACTAGGTTATACTGTAATGCATTATGTACCATTCATGTCTGTTGTGCAGTAGTAGTTGACTTCAGGATTGAACGCTGTCTTCAGCAGTATTAAGAAATCTGTGCAGATAGTTCAGTCATTCTTTTTGAGTTCCATCCTGGCTTACACATTTATATTCACATATAAAATGCTAGCTCACCTCAACTTGAATTCCATAGTTTGAACTTCATGTTTCTGGAAATGTTGGGTTATCACTAGAGATGGAAGTCATGATGGTCTATCTCATGATGTGATTGAAAAGTAGGAGGGATTTGTTTTCTGAGCAGGAGTTTTTAATCTTGCAGTAATCTTGTGATCAATTTTATTCTAAAACTCTCTGTATAGGCTTTGTCCAAATAAATGTCTTGTAAATGATGCATATTCTGAACTTCAGTTCTAGAGGTTTTCCCCATCTCTGCTGAATCTCTGATTTGCCTTATACCTGTTACAACTGACTTTCTTCTTTCTGTAACTACTCGAATTGGAACTGGAAGTGTAAAATTTTCAACTTTGAAAATAAATACATCATAACTAATTTAGCCTCTTTGTGTAGTAGACTATTAATAAATATAGCTTCCAGTGGCTTTATTGGTTAAACCTTACTATTTTTTTTTTTCTTGCAGATATCTTTTTATTTCCACAACATGTTAAATGAATAACCAATGCCTGTGTAAGAATTTGGGGGGAGGGAGAGGTTGGGGCTTATGCCCATGTTGAGAAGAAATATGTTGTGTTCAGGTTTGCTTTTTATGATGATTGCAGCCAGTTGCTGCTTGCGCCATGCCAGTTATGAAGGGCTGGAACATACTGACAAACTCTGAGAAGTCCAGGAAAGCAAGGTACCTTTCTTTTCGCTTTCTATAGCCTATTAGTTGTCAACTGTACATCATTTAACAGATAGTACATTAACTTTAATTCCTGAACCCAACAGAGAGGGTGTAATGGAGTTCCTGCTGGCAAATCACCCGTTGGACTGTCCTATCTGTGATCAGGGTGGAGAATGTGATCTACAGGTACAACATCCAATTAAATTGTGTAGAATTATGTATTAAATACTCTTCTCTTAGGTGAAATTGTGCTTTCCAGCAGCCTGGATATGCCTGTTTTCTGTTATCTGTTCTAGGATCAATCGATGATGTTTGGCAGTGATAGAAGTAGATTTAGAGAGGGAAAACGTGCTGTGGAGGACAAGAACATTGGCCCATTAGTCAAAACAATCATGACTCGGTGTATACAGTGCACTCGATGTATCAGGTAATGTCTGTTATTTTTTATTGGAGAGATTACTGAGCAGACGTATTTATATCAGTTTGTTACTTGTGAAAGAAACACCATGAGGGGCAGTCAATTTTTAAATTTATTTTCTGAATGTACTTAAGAATTTTATTTTTAGTAGGGACTGATAGCTGGTTTCCCAGTGTTACCAGACAGCTGTCATACAGGTAACAGAGAGAGGTGGCTAAAACATGAAAGTGAAATCAGAATTCTAGAGGGGAGAACTGGTCCTGTGGTAGTAGTGCCAGAATGGATTTTAAAACATTCAGTCCTCAGCCACAGTTGCAAGATTTATTTATTTTAGACAGCCTCTGTTAGCTATATTTATGCTGTTCTGTAGTCCTGAAATTCAGTACCAGCAAACTTGAGCCAG